GCCCCACCCTCCCTCCACCCCTCCCTCCCCCGCCACCTCCTCCACCTCCTCCACCTCCTCCACCTCCTCCACCTCCTCCACCTCCTCCACCTCCTCCACCTCCTCCACCTCCACCATCCCCCCTCCTCCTCTTGCTCCTCCTCCTCCCTTCGCCTCCCACTCTTGATTTCCACAGGCTCCTCCTTTCTTTTCCTCTTTTTATCCCTCTCAAGTTCTCGAACTCTCTCCTCCTCCCTTCCTCCTTCCTTGTTCACTCATTCTTGTCATATCGTACTCGAGCATCCCAGCTCACCAGACCGCCATTGCCGTGAAACTGATTTCGCAGCGATTACCAGGAGCCGATGAAGCGCTTCTTGCGGAGCATCTCGCTCAGCAAGAAGAAGGAGAAGGCCCCTACATGTGCCGAGGACACAGGCAGCAGGCAACTCCCCGGCAGCAGACCTTCCTTCCTGCTTGACGTGCAGGCGAGGCTGAGAGTACAAGCAGCGAACAAGCTCGCTTCCAAGACGAAGTTCTGCCTCTCCTTTGAGTTGGGGGATGAGAAGTTGGAGACAAGTCGGAAGAAGCCAGCTCCTCTCGTGGTGACTGCTGTTGTGTTTGTCCCGCATCTCTCTGTGTGATGATCCACCAGGAGTGGAGCGAGGCGATCAGATTTGAAGTTGGAGAAGACTTGCCTTCGAGACTTTCCTGTACTGTGACGAGATGGGAATCGAAGAGATCGTTTCCTATGGGGAGGTGGGAGGTGAGGATAGAGGACGTCAGGCAGGTGTTGCTCTTCTCTGTTGAGGACCGCGTCTCTTGCGAGGGGAAGCAGGCTGTGCTGGACTTGTCAGACGGTGTGAATCGCGGGACATGCGAGATTCATGCAGCTTGTGAGGTTTGTTTATCTCGTGAGGCGAAGGAGTTGAACCGGATGAAGAGGAGAGCCTTCGGGCAGGTCGAGGCTGCGGTGATGGCGATGAGAGTGGGGAAGTCAAACTTTCTACGCTGTCGGGCTGCTGCCGCTAGCCTGCAGACGACAGCGCGGAGGAGGCTGCGTCAGGTATCTGCCATGAGACTATCTTCCTCGCTTCAGATGCTGGTCCAACGACAGCGATATGGATCGCAGCTGGTTGGCTGTGAGGAGCTCAAGAGCAAGATCAGACAGCTGGTGGTCTTCCTCCATCGGCTGAGTGTCATACACGAGGTTGCGATCCTCCAGGCCCAAGTTAGGAGAATGTGGTCTCAGCTCGAGCATTTCTACGACATGGAATGCATAAGGGTGGTTCAAGCGACGCTGAAGAGGCTGGTGAGGAGAAGAAGGTTTGTCAACATCATGAGGTCCCTTCAGATCATCTCCCCTCGCGTCAGACTCTACGTGCACAAGCTCACCAGCAGGAGAGAGGCCAGACCTCCAGCTCTCGTCTCCCCTGCGGCTCCAGCCATCACGTCGCTCGGCTCCCCTCAGTGTGCGAGGATTCTGCAGGCGCATGTGAGGAGGAGGATCGCGATGTCGAGGAAGCTGATCCCTCCCCTTGCAAGAATGCTGGTCAGGTCCCCGCCCAAGAGCTTCGCCCCCTCTCCTCCTCGAGAGCAGCACATCGAGATGCACGGGGAGTGGAGGCGTCAGTCGAAGGAGCACATGTACCAGCTGCAGCGAGAATGTGCCAAGGTCATCGTGGCGAAGATACAAGCGAGGTTGACGAGGCGGGACTACGAGCGGGCCTGGAGAGACTTCGGCGCCTTGTGCTGGCGTCTCAAGGCGGTCGCCTACCGCCGCAAGCACGTGAAGAGGATCAGCCAGCTGATCTCGGGAGGGTTCTCGCGAAGTCTTGTAGATCAGAATCGCTTCTCAGCTCCGTCGCTCCAGCCTGAGCTGAGCAAGGGAGGGAGCTGGAGTTGTGGGCCAGAGGTCAGAGCGATCCACAGCATGGGGCAAGGGGATCTCAGCAGCTCGATTACACGTGGGGATCTGCTGGACTCGGCAAGAGAGCTGCTGAAGGAGACGTCTCAGCTCCTGGACAGAGAAGATACGGAGGAGGGAGAGAGGAATGTCGGTGAGGGCGAAAGAGATCGTAAAAATGAGGATGACATGAGCAGGGAAACTCTTCCTAATCCTTCAGATTATGCAGATGACACCCGCGTCTACAATGTCGAGTGCAAGCAGAAGAGACCGACAACAGTGACAGCAAGCAAGCAGGAGGAGTGGTGGCCGGACTATGTGAACATCGTTGAGAGATGGAGGAATTCCAACAACGGGAGCAGTGACGAGCAGGACGGGACCATAGGAGTCTCTCTCCTCCAGACCAGGAAGATCGGCAAGCGCGGCGCAATCTCCTACGACTTCCCTCGGGTGCAGGAGATCTTGCCAGGGGGAGCAGCCGACGTGGATGGGAGGATCCGCGTCGGCGACGAGGTCGTGGCGGTAAGAAGGCAGCAGCATGCAGGCCTTGGCTGATGGTTCACTGCAGGTCGATGGAACTTCGACGAGGAACTTGCATATCGAGGAGGTGGCGAGCATGATAGCAGGGAGGGCGGGGACAGAGATTTGCCTGACCATCCAGAGGCAGGAGGAGGAGGTAGACTTTCGCCTGTTGCGATACAAATACTTCCGCCTCAAGCAAGCAGGACGCTCAACGATACCAGTGAGGGAAACACTCGTGGATTCAGGCCGGTTGCTGGATCGAAACCTGTGGCGACCCTGCTTGGAGCTGGAGGAGAAGAGAAGTTTACTGTCTGCGCAAGACAACAAACTCCTCGATCAAACGCTGAGAATCATCCTTGAGGCTTCAGAAACGCCGGGCTGAAGGGGTAAAAACCTCCATTACACACTCGACTGGCTGACAAATGCAATGGTGAAGGGAGTTACCGTCCTCTCAAACCAGCGCCGCCTCGAGCTCGAAGTTATCAACATCATCTTCAGCCTGCAGGGCTCGTTAGAAAATGCATTTCTCCCCCTCGCACAGGGGACAGAAACGTTGCAGCATTACGAGAAGAAGCATACCGTATCAAAAAAGCCATGATCCGATCCCTCATTGGAAGACACTCCGTTGTTGCTGTCTCCTCTTCCAGAATCGGAAGAACTTCCCTGCATCACGGGAATCAGGACGCAGAAGCGACCCAGCAGACCTTGTGGTCGAGTACATTGCTGTTGAAGTGTCCATTGCTATGGCTCGACCCACTCGATCCATTTCCATTGGTTGCATCCGAAGAGCGGACTGATGTAGAAATCAACTTCCCTTTGGATAAAGTTTCTATGTAGTAAATGATTACCGCCATTTGAGTCGTTGCCATTGGAGGTTGAATCGGAACTTCCGAGCGATCCACTGGAATCAATGTTCAGCTCCATGTAGACCAATTGCCGTGTAGCGTACCTGCTTCCCATTGATCCTGGAGATCCCGGTCCCTTTCCTGTTGCCATTCTATTCTTGATCTTCTTCTTGTGATGGGTATCACCCTCCACGGTGGGTGCCCCATGCTTCATAAGCATCAAACCAAAATCATTCATGGAAACAGAATACCTGTTTGGTGACCAGAGTCTGCTTGATGCTCTTTGCAGCAACAAACGCAGCGGCAGCGGCAGCAGAGGTTCCGGTTTCACCAGACGCAGCTGCAGCTGCCGCCTCAACAGAGTCGCTGGTGCACTGAACCTGGAAACGAGTCATAAGGTCATCTCGACTTGCAAGGTGTATTCAACAACCACTTTCTGCCTGCTGGTGCTGGCCTCTGTATCTTCCGCTGATTGATCCTGGAGCGCTCATTACTTCTTTCAGTTTTGTTCAACAAACCCACTTGTAAGCTCGATTTGGCCATCTTCATGAAATACTTTTGGGCGTGGGTTCGAACCTAATGACTATGAATAGAAGAATGTTTTAACAAGCTTTTTCACCTGAGTAGCACTCCTTGTCCCGACTATTGAAGATATTGACTTCACGTCCTTGTGTCCATATCTGAAATCAAACAATAAGCAAGAAATTCAATCAAGTCATGGAACCAACTTTTCCACAGCCTCGAGAAATCTCTGGTGCTCTTCTTCTGTCCAGTACCGGGACTTCCAAATTTCATGTTACACTCGAAGAATGAAGCTTCAAGTCTGATCACCTTGGAATCTTTTGAGTCCGCTTGTTCGCTTTCAAGCTCTCCACATATTTGCTTGAGGCGTTGCACCTGTTTAGAACCCCTGTCAGGAATCAATTCGTAGGATATTTAACCCCTACCTCTAAGTTTGCTACATGTATTTGATGTTTGATCATTAAATTTTCCCTCGCTAATTCCTGTTAGAAAACTCAGAGCACCGCCTTGGACCACAGGCTCGGATACACTCACCACCAACGCATCCTTTTGTACAAAATCGATCTCTTGGTCGATTCGCTGTCTCTTCAATCTGTCTGGCGGGGGTTGCATCGCTCCAGCCTTCTGCCATTCCAGATCCTTGGCCATCAAGTTCGCAGGCTGCGCCATTCCGATCTCGCTTCGATTGTACATGGACAGATAAGGCATCTCCCACGGGTACCCTGGCACTTCGCTGCCCCCCGGACCTTCGTATGCGGAAATCTTGGCATGTATGTTCGATTCAAGAGGTCCGAAGGTAGCTCGGGGTGGGAAAGCAGAGCCTGTCATGGCACGGGATCAGCAACACAACATCAATTGCGGGTTAGCCTTGCCTGCCGACAAGACATAGCTCAGCGGGGGCTGTTGTAGACGAGGAGCCCTTCCATTGAGGATCGGAGGTTCAAAGCTCCCATCTTGTGGATCTCTCTTCTTAGCAGGCTGCAGTGATGGATCCTGAAGCTCTCCAGCATGCAGGAATGACCAGTCTTCCATCTGTCTTACCACAAATATTGATAATTCTGAACCTACTTTAGCTTTCCTTCCCTGCTGGGACTCGTGCCCCTGAGCATGTAATCTTCAATCTCCACGGATTATGTTGAAATCGTTCAATCACAAATCCGCATCTCTTCAAACACCGTATCGTTATCGATATCCTAAAAAAGATAAACGTTAATGTCTGAGCAAAAGCCAGCTACACAGCGTTTGAATGAGCGCATGCGGTCGCATGAAATTAGTCAGTGAACAAGAGCACGAAATGTGAAGAAAGATTTCGGGATTTGGTCGTCCTCTTCCCAACACGTAAGGAAACCTCATTTGCGACATACAGGTGAGCTTTTTATCATGGTCTGATCAGATTTTCAGGGATTCAAAGTGGGATGGTTCGAATTGATTGATCCAAAGCATCTAGTGCAAACTATCTCACACGGATTTCAGTCGCCTCATTCTACACAATTATCGAGACTTTTTCTTTTGCAATGTCCTCCACTATTTATATCGTCTGAATGATCTGAAATGTCTCAAACATTCAAACACTTCTCCATTCCACATAAAATTGCTGTCCTCAACATCAACCACTCAGACGTTGATCATATTGATCCGTCCATGATCACTCGTCATGAGATCGCAATCATCTTCTGTCATAGTTTCAAATCTTTCTCCTCCTCCTCCTCCTCCTCCTCCTCCTCCTCCCAGCCCTTTCTCCTCCTTGAGGCCTTTCAGCATGCTTCCCCTCCAGATCCTGCCATTGCCACAATTGTAATCGGGGGTAGGGTTATTTGTTTGTATTTTCCTGGTAGGGTATCTAGTTGTTGGACAAAAAGAAGGGTAGTAGTTGGTTAAAATGAGGGTAGGGGTACTCAAAATTGGGAAGCTATGGGTAGGGTAACCAGTTTCAATAGAGGGGGTGGGTTTGACTATCGCATGTCAAAGGTCGGGTAATTTAATGGGAAAGAGAGGGTAGGGTACCGGGGACGTATCACAGGAGGTCACCGAGCGAAAGGTTGTGATCTCAAAATTATCTCGTGCGATCTCCTTCTCAGGTCGAACATGCGATCTTTACTGCGAAATGGGGTGTACTCTAAAACAGATGCATATGTAACCTAATTGTATTTGAAATTATTAGTGAAATTTTCAAAATAAAGATGTTTCTGCCTTCCATTGCGAAAAATAAACTTATCAACATACGAATCTATCCCAAATTAAATGACGCTACCGCTTGCGACCCCCCCTTGTATGGTTTGAGAACTACCATTGTTTAAACGTATGTAACGGTTTTTACGATCCACTGACTTCTGTGTAACCTCCCTCTGGACGAACGATAACGGTTCGTAACGGAAAACCGCAAATAGAGGGAGAGAAAATATGGGCGAAGTCGACATTGGTGGATGATGGGTCAAGGGAGGAGGAGGGGAGGGAGGAGTGATCAGTACAAACGCAGTGATATCATAGAGCGAACATGGAGGGGATATGAGAACGCTGGGAATTCCCGCAAAGTGTTTCGGGGTGGTGATGAAATCATGGAACAGGATCGTGGTTTGGCGAGTTGAACACAGAACTGAAATTTTCTTCCTTCAGGGCTTTACATTCGTTGGATTTTGTAGGTAGAGATGATCGAAATCGCGATGTTAGCCATCCTGAAGATCTCGATGATGTGGAGCGGGTCACAAGGAATGGAATTGATGGACGTTGAAAGGAAGAGAAGGATCACTGAAGACGGCGATACCTCTCACAACAACTAATGAAATGAAAGCTCCCGTCCCTCCTCCCTCACCTCTATTGCATAGCTCACACGCTACCCATAGCCACCTGCAGCTCCCAAGGAAGAGAGGCCAGGGAGGGGGGGTGGTAGCTATCAACCTGTGGGGGTTCAGTGTGTAAGGAGCTGAGGTCAAAGGCTTCATCCAGTCGCTCCCTGGCGTTTCACGCTTGCGCTTGCTATCTACAGAGACAACACTTGGCGATGGCATGCCCCCTATAACGCGCTCCAGGACCAAATGCCCTCGTTCCTTGCGCCGGAGCGAGTCAGCTGTGAAGCGGTCAGACGGCCCCCGCCAGCGCAGGCAAGACACTACCTCGTAGTTGAACTGATGCGACACCCACATCTTGAGCAAGCCCAATATCCTCTCCTGCGACAGGAACAAGGGTTCTCCCCTCCGCAGGTAGAAGTCCTCCTCCCCGTGCTCGTCCAGGTACGGCGACGGTAGCATGGCCCCGGCCCCGTGGGCTATCCCGGACCGTATGACAAGGAAAGTGCAGGTCTTGATGATGAGGAAAACATTGATTCCTGCTCCGCACTGCTCTGTGTGCAGGGTGCACTCGCCCCTCCCCTCCTTCTTGCAGCAGTCGCCCCCGGCGCACACGATCGCCCCGCACATGAAGCACAGCGCCGGCTCCGTCGGCTTCATCCCACAAGTCCGGCACGGCTGCTTGAGGACGATCTGGAAGAGCTCCTGGAAGTCCCGAGGGAGGTCGATGAAGGAGGGTCTGGCCGCCCTCCTCCTGTACATCTTGGAGAGGAAGGAGAACCGGCTGCTTCCTTGGTGCCGCTCCGCAAACGCCTCGCACCATCGCTTAACGAGTACCTCCATCGTGCCCTCCATGCTCGGAATCCCTCCCTGACCCGTGAGTCCGAGGAAGTGGACCAGGATGAGGGCTTCTTCCTGCTTGCTAGTTTGCTCGTAGCTGGGGAGGGGGAGGGCGAAGAACAGGCTCTTGACCAGGCAACACCTGCGCAGGAAGGGAAGGCTTGCTTCCAGCACCCTGTTGAGGGGAAGGCGAGTCGAAACGTCGCTCAGACCAGCACCCAGCACGGAGTCCATCAGAAAGAGGAGCTGCGAGAAGTTTTCTCTGTCTTCTCCGATCCTGTCCTTCTCCTCCTCCTCGTCACCTGTTGCAGCCCGGCCGGCAGCGCTTCCGTCGCTGAGCGCCAGGACAGCCTGCATGACTTGCGCCACCCAGAAGATACGGAGGAAACCGTCGAATTCCCCCGACAGCTCGGTGTCGGACTTGGAGGACGACGACAGGAAAAGCCAGTGGACGAGCAGGGAGCAGACGTCGGCCTCTAGGACGCACTTGATGTGGAGATCGCCGTTGCCCGGCTGGCTGGCTGCTGCCGCTTCCTCTGCTCCGATGCCGCGGAGTAGCTTCGACCACATGGTCAGGTGCCTCATGCTCTCCCCGTCGAGGCTGAGCTTGCTCTGCTGCAGCAGGCGGACAGCTCGCACGAGAGCTGTGAAGGGAGCGATTTTGGTCGCAGTGAAGCTACTGAGTGAACCCCAGCTGCCGTCGGGCTCCTCGCAGCTGGAGTTGGGAGGTGGGCCGTCTGGGACCAGAGTCAAGGGAAGGAAGAGGAGGATGAGAAGAAGGTGAGAGGAGAAGCGCTGGGAGCGGCGGGAGCAGTAGCAGTAGGAGAACAAGCAGAAGGACGAGAGTCACCTAGCCGACAGGCCGACTCCATACTGAAGATGCTATAGATGCAGGAGGAGATGGCTGTCAACGTAGGGCTGGTCGGGGCCTCGAACTCCTCCTTCCCCTCCTCATGCGCGAAGAGATGAGTCTCCACAATCTTCTTTGCCATCACTTCTGCCATCTCCTTCTCCGGCTGATAGCTCGCGGCCTGCTCTGCCAACACGGCCGCGCCCCCGATCTTAGCTCCCTCCTCCTGGGAGACTTTCTGAAGCTTCGATTTCTTGTGGTCCACCAGACGCCCACGGGGTTGGAAGAGTTTGTCGACCGAGCGCATGAGGTAGTCAGACGCGTCCTCTCGCTCATCAATCCTCTGCCCTCCCTGTGAGAAGAAACACTCCAGCACTATGCGCACATCTCTACCTCATCCTCCTCTGTCCTCGCGTCAGCCTCCTGCTCCTGCTGTTGACCTTGCTCCTCCTCCATCGCCTGTCCAGCCTGACGTGAACCCTTGGAGAGCCAACGAAACTCAACGAGAGGAAGAGGAGGGAGGGGAGCGAATCTACCTGCTTGCAGAGCAAGTCCTTGGGCACGAGCGGGACGAGGTTGTTCCCGAGGGCGCGGCAGAGCGGGCAGGAGAACTCGGCCTGCAACTATCCCTCCCTCAGCTGCCGCTCAACAAGACCCCAGCACGATTCACCGGTGAGGAGGACCCTCTTCCTCGTGACAAGCCGGTCATGGAGCTTTGATACCTTCAGTGAAAGAGAGGCGACAAAGTGAGTAACATAAAACATTCTCCTCCTCCTCCTCCTCTCATCCTCCTCCTCTCCTCCTCCTCCTCCTTCTCCTCCTCCTCCTCCCCTTCCTCCTCCTCCTTTTTCTTCTCCTCCTTTTTCTTCTCCTCCTTCTCCTCCTTCTATTCTGTTCGTAATCCTCGTCCTTCCATTCCTTCTTCCTCCTCCTCTATTTTCTCCCCCGCCCCCTGCCCCCCGTCTCCTCTCTTTCCCTCTCCCCTCCCCCTCTTCCCTCCTTCGCCACCTGTTCAAGCAGTCCCTGTGGATCGCGTGCCCGCAGAACGTAGTCGCCACCCCGCACTCTCTCCCTCTCTGCTCCCATCCTCGCTGAGAGACGTGGGTGAAAGACCAAGGATGATCTTTTCTGTTTGGGGGGGCTGCAGAGGTGTCCTCAGTCATGCTCTCGTCCTCTACACTCGGCGTCCCCTCTATTCTCCTGCTCGACTTTGACAGTGTCGAGAGGACGGTGGACGCCTGGAGGCAAGTAAGAGGCAGCCATGGAGTTGGAGGGAAGGGAGTGGGGAGGAAGGGATAAGAAGTCTCCTCTCAGGCAGCATGGATGGAGGTAGAGGACGAGGACGAGGACGAGGACAAGGACGAGGACGAGGACGAGGAGGAAGGTGAGGGTGATGAAGCAGGGAGTACAGTCAGTAGAAAAAGGAGCCTGGAGGAGATGAGTGGGGAAAAGCAGAGCGGAAAGGGGAGGAGAGGAGGATAAGACCGAAGAGGAAAGAGAGGCAAGAGGAGAGAGGGGGAGGGAGGAGGACGGAGGAAGAGGGAGGAGGAAGAAAAAGGAGTACGAGGAGGAGGGAGGAAGAGGGAGGAGGAAGAAAAAGGAGGAGGAGGAGGAGGGAGGAGGAGGGAGGGAGGGAGGGAGAGGGAGGAGGAGGAGGAGGGAGGAAGAGGGAGGAGGAAGGAGGGAGGAGGAGGGAGGATAGGCAACAGAATTTACCTGCACAAACGAGATAAGACCGACGGGCCTTCCTGGAGATGCTTCCTCGTGGCAGAGGACACACTGAGTCGGCAACACGCTCTCGTACATGTCCTGCACAGCCCGCCCTTCGTACTCGTTGGCACCTGTGGAGCTTCTGAGCAGCAGGGAGAGGAGAAGGACGAGAGTAAGGGAAGGAAGGAGAGGACGCGGAGGAACAGGAGGAAGAGGAGGAAGAGGAGGAAGAGGAGGAGGAGGAGGAAGAGGAGGAAGAAACAAGGGGCGCAAGGGATCGAGTCAGATGACTTCACCTCCATAGCTCTCGTCAAGATCGTCCTCGTCGTCATCTTGCCTGCCACCATCGCCATGAGTCCCCCGCACGTCTCAAGCAGAGGACTGACATCATCGCAGCAAAGGCCTGCTGCCGCGCTTGCATCTCCTTCATTGCTCGCTCCAGCGCCTCCTGAGGGAGAGAGCAAGAGGTCAAGAGACCATTGCGAGCATGGAGGTGAGGCACACGTAAGAAGAATGATACGTGGATAGCACAGGAGAAGGACGCGGAAATTGAAATGGGATGGGGGGAGGGAGGGGGGGGGAGGGGGGGTTAGGACGAGGACGAGGAGGAGAAAGAGGACGAAAAGGAGGACGAGGACGATGACGATGACGATGACGAGGACGAGGACATTCAAAGGAAAGGACTGGGAGTTTGCAACCTTCTTTCTCCTCGCCTTCTCGTCTACTTCGGATGTTTCGCTCTCTTCCACAGGCGCTGATTCGCTGGTCGGCTGGTCGGCAGCTGCTGCTGCCTGACGGAATTCGCGAGGAAGAGCTTGAGCGTCGCTGGCATGGGCGACGCAGGTCTGACTGTTGGCGAAGAGCCTTTGGAGAATGTGCCGAATGTCAGCCTCGTGCCTGCAATACCATCAGATCCAGATGAAGGACGGAGGGAGGGGCGGAGGGGCGGAGGGAGGGACGGAAGGAGGGACGGAGAGACGGAGGACAGAGGGAGGGACGGAGGGAAGGAGGGAAGGAGGGAGTGAGTGGGATGGGGGATGGGGAAAGAAGGGAACAAGGAGGAACTGAGGTGCATGGAGGGACCTTTTAGGTTGGAAGCGGAGAGTCATCGAGTCGGATGCTTGAGATTGCATGCCTGTGAGCAATCGGGAGAGGCACACGAGTACGCTCCTGGAGGATCATGTCAGCGGACATCAACCAAGCACACATGCCATGGCGGGAGGAGGCAACAGGAGCTGCAGGAGGGAGGAGGAGCAGCTCGAAGCAGCAGCAGCAGCATACTTGCTCTGGTAGTCGTTCGTAAACAATCGCTCCAGCTTTCCCCACTCTTCTCTTCCACTGCCTTCTGACCTCCTGAGAGAGGATGAGAAGGAAAGAGGACACGCGGAGAGGGCGCTCACTTGGCCTCCTCCACCACGTGGTTGACCGCGAGCTTGCAGATATAGAGAGTTCTGTGAAGGACCTGGAGGGACGAGGTGAGATAGGTGAGATGGAGTGAGACAAGCAAAAGAAGTGAGAAGATAGAGAAGAAAGAGAAGAGAAGAAAGAGAGGTGAGGTGAGGTGAGGGTTGAGGGTTGAGGAGAGGATGAGGGTGGAGGAGAGGAGAGGAGAGGAAGCGGAGAGGATGAGAGGAGAGGATGAGAGGAGAGAAGACAGGACAGGACAGGACAGGACAGGACAGGACGGCCGAGCAGAATTGAGTAGAAGGTATATGGCGGGGGGGAGGGGCTTGGCTTTACCGAGTCGTTGACAAACGCATGAGACTCGGCACCCTCGTCGTTCATGTGCAGCAGAGCACAGTTGACAATCTTGGAAACCATGAACCAGAGATCTTCGGAGAACAACAACTATTTGCAAGCAAGGTGAGACAGAGAAGGAGAGGGGAGGAGGAGCGGGGGGGGGGGAAGGAGGAAAGGAGGAGACAAGGAGGAAGGCAAAGTTTGCACAAGATGAGAGGGAGGGAAGCAGCGGAGTAGTACGAGCAGATTCCAAGGAAGAGAGGGGGGGGGGAAGGGGTGTTCAGAGTTTCTCACATGCTCTAACTCCTTCAGAGCCTGTGGAAGAGGAGGGAATTTAGTGAAAAGATGCGAAGCATTCTCCTTCTCTTTCTGCTGCTGGCTGTCAAGTCCAAACTTGGACTCCATAGTCTCCAGAACGTGCTCGTGCTCTTTGCGAGAATACAACCAACAGAACGGATCGACTTCCTGCACGGCTGTCAGGGAGAGTGCTGACGACACCAAGGAAGGGGGAAGTCGCAAATTCACAAAAAGAGTGCTGCAACCGGAGGAGAGAAGCAGGGAGGAGGGAGGAGGGAGGAGGGAGGAGGGAGGAGAGCGAGAAGGGAGAGAGAGTAGGACCTCCCATAGGTTCGACTTCAGACAGTAAGTGCCGGGGTTGGTCGAGTTGGCAGGTCTGAACGTGGCAATCTTGCAGAAGAGAGTCAGAGAAAGAGCAGAGAGAGCATATGAAGTAGAGCAAGAGGAGTAGAGGAAGGAAGGGGGGGGAGAAGGTCGAAGAAGAAGAGGAGCAGGAGGAGAGAAAAAGCGAAGACAGCAACAAATGGTGTTCATGGTGCAAAATGGGGAGGTTGACAGGGTGCAGGTCTAAATACAGAGGGAGAAAGGAGGTTTTTTGCAAGTAGATGGAGAAAAAGGAGGACACAAGGCAGGAGCAGGAGCAGGAGCAGGAGCAGGAGCAGGAGCAGGAGCAGGAGCAGGAGCAGGAGCAGGAGAAGGAGCAGGAGAAGGAGAAGGAGAAGGAGAAGGAGAAGGAGAAGGAGAAGGAGAAGGAGGACACGGCCTCGAAGCAACTTGTGTTGTACCTCTTGTAGCACAGAGTCGAAATGGTCAGAGCTCGAGATGCTCGTCGGGAGATTCTTCTTGATGTTGCTGGAGGTAGCGAGTCGGAGACGGAGGATGAAGTAACGAGAGGGCCAGGTGGGAAGGCAAGGCGGAAGGCGGAAGGAAGCAAGAAGGGTGGAAGGAAGTCAAGGAGGTGGAAAGGAAGACGAGGAGGAGGAGGAGGGAGGAAGAGGGAGGAGGAGGAGGAGGAGGAGGAGGACGAGGACGAGGACGAGGAGGACGAGGAGGACGAGGAGGAGGACGGGGGGGATTAGGGGGACCAGGAGGAGGACGAGGAGGAGGGGGACCAGGAGGAGGACGAGGCATAAAGTTGAGGAATCTTTTCTCACCTATGAGTTGTTGCTTCTACCGCCAGCCTATGGATCAGCAACCGACGAACTTCTCCTCTTTCATCGAAGTTGCCAGAAAACCCTCTGTCGCAGAGGACCTGGGGGAGGAGATGGTGATGGGAGACGAGGAGGAGCAACAGCAGGAGCGCGAGAAGAGGAGGAGGAGAGAAGGAGGAGTACGAAAAGAAGGAGGAGGAAGAAAAATATCAGCAACGAGGCAGGACGCGACATGGTTCTCACCATGATGAGGGTGTACAACATCTCAGCCAGGACGTGCACATACTGCTCGTCGTCCAGCCCGACACGGTGGCTGAGGGGGGACATCCAATACTTGAACATGAACCTCTCCGCAAAGATGGACAAGAAGTTTGCAGGAGAGAGCATCGTTGCGGTAAACTGCATCCCTTCTCAGCTCCTACCTCCTCCTCGATCCCCCTTTCCCCCTCCTCCTCGATCCCCCTTTCCCGGTCCATGT